TTACTTCATTATGTAAATCCGTACAAAACAGATGAAAGGTGCAACTGAGAAAGCAATGCAATTTGTACACTCTGTGGTTTTATACAGATATAACTATGAAAAGTTGAAAGATTACACGTGGAAGGCAAGGCTAGTGTAATGCTTTAAGAACTAGTCAAGGCCAACTGAGACAGAGTTCGCAGTGGAATACGAATTTTATATTATTATGTAATGTACGCAGTGAGAGTCAGTCATAACATATCGTAGTGAAAAAATTCGTTGAGTTGAACTATCGACTGGTTTTTAATATTGTGCAGTCCTGTAGTATGTCGTTATTGAGGTAATTATAACAAACGTGCATTTGATTTTTCTCAAAATAGGATTGGGATCTCACATAAGTTTCACCCTTGGGTGTGATTCAATTGGCAAGTGTTTCGCAATTGGGCCTGATTGGAAAAACAATTTTTAAAGTGGAACTTGAATCAGAAAAATGACTGACTTTTCATAAGAGTTAAATTTCACTAAATATAAAAACATATCAAATACAATTCACTTATGATGCACTGTTTGGAACCTTTGGTGTAGAAATGAATATCAAGGGCCTGATTGGAAAAACAATTTTTAAAGTGGAACTTGAATCAGAAAAATGACTGACTTTTCATAAGAGTTAAATTTCACTACATATAAAAACATATCAAATACAATTCACTTATGATGCACTGTTTGGAACCTTTGGTGTAGAAATGAATATCAATGGAGTTTTTTCCCAACACCAAATTCCTCTTCAAGAGGAATATTAAACTGGAAAACTTGCGAAACTAACCCTATTTATGCTATACAGATATACCACACATACAGGTATACCACACCTTTGGTATCTTAAATTATTTTTACAATTCGTCTTATAGATAAAGTGTTTGATCTTCCTCTTGAAGATAATCACTTGGTGATCGAAACACGTGTCGAGGTGTTAAAAATAACGATTTGGTGTTGGGAAAAAATCAGTAAGTAATATTTGAAAACAATTCCGTGGAAGCCAGAGTTATGACTGGATTCATTATAAAAATAGCAGTTATTGACAATTTCTATTCCGTATATCAAAATTGTCAATAACTGCTATTTTTATAATGCTGCTACTCAAACTGCAGTTTGAGTAGAGTACATATTATACAGTACTTACATATTACAAAACATGAAGTAATTTCATAAATACGTGCATACAAGAACGGTTAATAGAGGATTTTACTTAGTATTTATAAGAAAAAGCGACAAATGAAGTAATTATTAATATTCATATTAGTTCCAAATCAGATAAACTATTCTTTCAGATCTACTATGTTACATACAGTTCTGGTATTTAGGAAAAGTTATTTCTGTTTCATTGAGTTTGATTACAGAAGATTTGCTCATATTTGTCTCAAATATGAGATGATTCTAAACGAGTTGATGTTCCTAATAATTTATATGCCCTTGCAGTGAATCATTAAGTAAATTTCTAGTCGAGACTTTAAATGAATTTCCAGTCGAGACTTTAAATGAGTTTTCACTCTAGACTTACAGTTTTTCCGAGCATATGGACAACATTTTATGTTAGGTGTATGATGCCTAAAGTTTAATTTTCCACAAGATTACTTTTGTTTCTCCATGAAATTATGCAAAAAAAAAATCATGGTATGCTGTGATTCATGTTTATGTGTTATAGGTGTGTGAGAAACTGCAGCAACCTAATGTTGACTACAATATGAACCCTGAAAATTATTTAAATAAATGAAAAGTCGATGGTATCGAATAATTCGTCTGCATATAATAGAAACTAGTTGTTGGGTGGGTTAATCCAACCTTTATTGTTACAGGAAACAGAACTGTTTGAGCACCTTTGACATTATTTATGACTTATTACAAACTATGCCATAATCAGTTATTCTACCTTTTATTGTTTAGTTCAGGCACTTGGGATGCTGTGATTCATGTTTATGTGTTATAGGTGTGTGAGAAACTGCAGCAACCTAATGTTGAAGAAACATTCATAATATAATTTAAATTAGTAAATATTTTCATCCCCACTTTTTGATAATTATGTTTTTATGTGATGAAAAGATAGAATTCATTCGAGAATCCAATTAAGTTGAAAAGTGATTTTGCCAGTTGCTATTAAATTGCCTTCAAGGTGGTTTACCACAAAAAAATATTCAACAGAAATATTCCAATAATGAATTTGCTGTTTGAACGATATTTTTTAGTTATGTCACAAAAGTATTTATTGTAATCAATCTTAGCTTATTCATTTTTTATTTTGGTATTAGGTATTTGAAGCATAATCTCTGATGGTGTATGGGATAAAAACATTATTTCTTCCTGAGTGACCACCTGTATAAGAGAAAATCACAGTAAAAAAATTCAATATTGATATTTTTCTATGGAAAATTTGTCGGAAAATTTGTAATCGGAACAATAGATAGATTACACAATTTCATTGTGGTTTATAACAAATTTTCCATTACATTTACTTACAATTTCTTAAAAATTCATAACTTTTTCTTTGGATTCAATTTTTTTTGTACGGCTCAAGTTTATCGACACATACAATTATTGATTATTATATTTTCAAAGATTGATGAGTGAAGCGCTCAGTCACCAGAAATATTAATTTTTATCTCATGTCGACTATTCTTTTTTATTTCTGTATTCTGTTATCAACTATTTACTAAACTTTAGCCTTCGGCATTGTTACGAAAATGGGATATTTCCATCAATACCGTTCTTATCTCATATCGCTCATAACCTTCTGTAACCTCATCAGTTGAATCGAGAAGTGGGATGCCTAGTCGAGCTGACATAATCAGAACCAACTTGAAATCTTATCAAGTTCTCCAATTGCCCTGAGCATTTTAACAAAATTAATTATGAAACGATACCAAGACATATTTGTGCGGCCGCAAGAATTTCTGAAAGACCACATTTCGAAATTGTTTATAAACACAAGATAGGTTTTCCCCTGCACTTAACAGACGTTCAACAAAATTATTTTTTGGTCAAAATAATTTCTTTCCAATAGAAAACTGTATCATCAATAATGATAAAACTGTTTTCGATAAAACGCAGTCTTCTTCACTTGATATATATGTGATATATATATACCAGGTTCTATGCTGGGTCCAATGCCATACTTTGGTAGTCATCTTCAATAGATCATAATCCGTTCTCGAATAAAAAGCCAATAAAGCCGTTGTTGATATTTCTTCAAGGTTTTCTGGCTACTCCTCATTTCAAGAGGTTGTAGGCATTCAGCAGAGTTCATAATTCGTTTTTTTTTTGTTGTCAATTTGTGAACAATTGAAAATTTTCGATAGATTCAGTCCTAATATAAAAATATCGCATCAGGTGAACGAATATCTCAGATAAAAATATTTATCTATACACACTGTCAATTGTTCATTTAATCAGGTATGAATACTTGGGTATGAATTCAATACCAATTCAACTAGCACCCAAATAAAGTTAATACTCATATGTTACCGCGATATTTTTGTTTATAACTTTTAGATAAGAGTTCCCAGAAAACGCCACCAAAAGTGTGCCAAATATATCAAATACACACACCGATACAAACTATTTGTTTACATTCGTTCATTGTGCAATATCGTCTTGCAAATAAAATAGCTATATTTATGGAATCATACTCTGAATGTGATCGTCATTTTACCAGAGTTTTGTTATTATACTTTTGTCAATATCACCAGCGAGAAATTCAAGTTATGTTGCTTAATTTACTCAACTTTGCCCCAAAAGATAAGAAAATATTCACTTTTTCAAAGTTTCCATTCTTATTTATTCTGCTTTCTTGTCACTTCAACCTTCTTTTAAATGAAAAACTACACATGGAAATATTTGTGAGAGGCACATGTTAAATGACGAAAAAGTGCCATTTTTCCTATTTTCGATAGTTACATAATTCAGATAATATCGCATTCGTTTTCAGTTCCAGTTCGAGTTCAATTTTGTTGAGAATTATGTAACACTGCCAATAAAATCAAGGAAAAGTTCCTTGTTTTAGTGTCATTCAGGTTTGTGAACAATTATGATGTTAGGTTGCTAGAAAAGTTGCAATTTTCAGAGAATAAAAACAACGTCTTTGCGGACTCGCAGACTTCCAGACTTGTGTCTACTTTATTTTCTTTGTCTACACTCTTTCCCATACGTGTTACGTAAATTACTATTTGTGTAGAACTCGACTTCATAATGAATAAACTCAAAACCCTGCTCAACAATTTAAGTGGATATTATTTTCTACATATTTTGGGACCACATTCTTATATTTTTTGTACCGATAAGAGTACTAAGAAAAAACAGCATGCAACAAATATTGTTTATAAACAATATATTGAACGCGATTGTTCACAAAATATTTCAATTGAGTAGTTAATTTTAGGAATTTTAAAATTATCCAGTTCTATTTTTGCAGAGTGTATTTACATGATTTTACTATAATATAATGTTCAAAAGCTATGAAGTGAAAGCTTATTTAGAATTCATTGAATATGTATCCTGATATTTGGAGAAATTTGATTTTCCAGTGGTACTTAAATTAATTATCACATGAATGAAGCCAAATGATAAGAAATCAATTATTGTTCATTCTGACGGCTAGGTAGGTGAAAGATTTCTGAAACAAGTAGACATGGTCAAATTTTTTGATGGGAAATATAAATCTAATGCAGAAATTTTGTGCTTCTTTGTGCTTTCTGAAAACGATGAATGAAAATAATTAAAACTGGTAGAATGTTTCTTGTAATGTGTAGGTACATAGTATTGGTTTGCTTTGGTGTTGTTCCTTCTTATTTACATTAATCCGTCATTTTACTGACTATGGTTGCACAGAAATATTAGCAAGATGTTAACTCAGTAGGTATATAATTTCTGTTGGATTACTTTCGGTGGAGCTTCAAATTTTGTTGTTCAAGCAAATATGTATATAATAGACAGGCATTGAAATTGGAATATTGTCAGCTAGAAATTCCTACCTTCCATCCTGCAGAGCTGTTGCTGTCTCCCTTGTCCTTGAAATAGGGCACGTTCTGAACCATCCACTCGTATATCTGCGACAGAGTCAGTCTTTGATCGGGCGACGTCTTGATTGCCTGCGTTATCAAATCTGCGTAGCTTAGATTGCCCCAGGCGTTCCTCCTGCTGGAATTCTTTTTGGTGGGCACTGTGGCGGCAGGAACGGGAACGGGCAGCCCTGAACACTTGTTGCCCGCCTCATCGCCGGGCTCGACGTAATTCTCGGGCCGGGGCAGAGGCCACGTGTTGGAGCGCGCGCGAGTCTGCGGTTCGAAACCGTCGTGTTCTGCGAGCGGTTCCATGATATCCAGGTTCATTTTTTGGACAGGCCACGCACCGTACTGCCCGTTCATATAAACCGCACGTCGTTCGCACCTAACTCGAAAATCACCCGGCAGCAGCACAGGTTATAGGATTATTTGAGCTGAGCTAATTTTATAAATTGCGGCGCAATTCACGCACTGAACCACAGATCCACAAGTCAGCAATTCATCACCGTCAATTGTCGCAACACTCACTCTGATCTGAGGCAAAATCCTGCCGACAGACACCGCACAGTTTGTTTTGTTTCTTCGGAACACGATATGACGCAGTAGTTTACGCGATATGATTCGCAACGAATTTGAACAACACAGTCTCACTGCCGGGCCGTGTCTGTTGTGAATTTTCGCCCTACTCTCAAAGTCCGACGTTGTAATCGCGTTGGAGGACATGCCCACTTGCGCGTGCGCACTGAATGGCGCCACGCACGCATACTTGATTGTGTAATTGTGGCACACGCATCGCGGAATACACGTGATTATCGTACCTGGACAATTAGCGAAAAGGGCTCTTGATTTTGAATGTCTGTTGTGGAGAAAAGTAAACGCTCACAGAGCGCGATTGGACTTTGGTTTACGGTCGACGCGCTCGGTTCAACGATGAACCATTTGAATTTGTTTTATGGCTAGTCATGTGTTCGACAATTATTACAGGGTGCATCATATGTTACTATCTATTTAAGAAGTTGCCAACAAATAAGTGGTAAAACTTTGTGCAAAAATTAAATTAACCTTTGACCATACTCGACAATAGTGGATAGTTTTCATAATTAGTGTTTACTCATATAATCAGTATTATAATTCGTGAAAATTATATTAGAAGTCAATATAAAAAAAAACAAAAATCATACATTTCATTTGATTTTTATCCATACCATCGGTAAGAAGCAGGGAAAATAGCCAGTTTAAATGTTGAAATTATTTTCATCTGAAAAAAAACTTTTTCAACCTTTCTTTCCGTTAGTTTTCGGGCTCTTCCAAAATTATTTCGTACGTATGGGTTACTGGAGATGCTGAATCCGAATTTGTAAACATTTTTCATTTATATTAATTCCTAATATGGTTCTCGTGAATAATTATTTTATTAACCCCAATAAAACATCACGCCTACAATCACAAGTTTTACTCTGGTTAATTTCAAGGAATTTTGCATGTATACCAACGTTCCAAATATGCTTAGAATTTCATTAGTTCAGACTTCTATTGTCTAATATGATATAAATTGATTTGAAATCTCTGAAAAAATCAGTAAAAAATTAAAAAGGTTAGCTGAAAAGTAACAATTATATTAAGTAAAATAACTGAAATTACAAACAATTAAATAAAATGAAACATTGTCAACCACCTTCAAATAAATGTTTAGAATTATATTCTGAATAAGAGAGAGACACACACACTGTACATATTCGGTGTGTTTCCTAATTGTGCTGAGAAAAATTTATTGAGGAATTAAATTTATGAAGTCTGGAAATGCATTGTTTCCAAGAGACAAGGTATTGAACTTTTTTATTAAAAATATTCGTCGTCACATCAATAATAATGACTTGAAAAATATTGTTTTTTTCAATGCAATAAACACTTGTGGTTTCCATCGCATTTCGATTTTTTTTCTGGAAAACGAAGTGAGCCAAAATAATAAATCAAGGGTTGAATAAGTTCTTCTTTAGATGTTCCACTCAACACAAAATCAAGTGGTACAAGAAACATCAGTTACATACATTTTTTGGTCAAATAATCAACTTTTTGGTCAAATCAATTACTTGATAATCAACTTCATTGAAGTTTTTCCAGAACGATTCGATTTCATGATGAATATTTCGTGGTTGTTGAAAAACTGATGTATGAAAGTAACCCAAATGGATACATTAATAAAAATTGTTTTGATAGGTAACCTCAAGACCTATCAGAATAAGTCCCCTAATACCCCCGTGTTATGCAATTCATTGCACTTCTTTGAGTTATGATTTTTTCAATGTTTCTCAGAGAGTTTTTGGCCGAACCGGTAAGATATGTTCCATTAATAAATCCATAAATTCTGATTATTACTGATTATTATTGCTCATTTTGCTCCTCCTGCAGGTAAATTCAGATAGAAAAAAGTCACATGAATAAAAGCCTAACCAACAAAAATATTTGAACAGCATGCGAAATCGTTAATTTTTATAGAGATACCTGCATAGTTCAATTTCGTAATTGACATCATTCAGCAATAAAATTGCTCTCAGACAAGTTTCTCGAAAAAAAAGTATTTCTTCAAAATTTTATGCATGGTGATTGGAATATAGAAAACTATAATAATACATGTATCATTCACCAATACATTGAGTAATACAGGATGATTTTTCAATACAAAAACGTCTAACAAAGATAAACAAAAGGAGAACCGTTAGACTCTTCAGCTAATTCTTCCACAGTCCCCTCAAGTCCCTCGAAGTATTTGGGAAAGTAGATCATATTTTTCAAATCTATCAAAAATATGACATACCTACTATATAAAAATGGGTGTTTTTTGGTTGGTTGGTTAGTAAGTGATAAACTTCTACATCGCTCAACCGATCGTGATGAAACTTGACATGTATAAGTAATTTTCCATAGAGAAGGTTTTTAGACTATCAATTTTTCTGTAACTCACCACTAGGTGGCGCTGTAGAACAATTTTTTGAAAGCACTGTTCTATAACGCTGCGCACGCCAAAGTTCGTTGATTCTGATTCTGTCAAAACATTGGAACAGCAGCGATACAGCAACATAATACTAGTTTCCTGTAAAGTAGTAATATTATCATCATTCTCAAATCCCAAATAATAAAAATAATGACAGCATTCGAAGCAGGAATGTTATTAGAAATATATTATGATATGGATTGATCAAATTGAATTTGCAGTCATGGATTTGTCTTTTACTGAAACTAAATTTTCAAATTTTGAACATTAGTTATGATTTAAGAATTGTAAAGCGAAGTGTTGTGCATGGGTACAGATAATTTCTGTCAAAACCGGACATTTACATTGTGCGCTTCAGAACACCTCTGAATTTTTGAGTAGAGACATGAAGGTTATTTTGTGAGTAGAATTTTGTGATATAATACACAGCAATGCAAAATACGTCGTTTGTTCATAGGCAACCAGCCCAGTCCAGTATGTAACTTGTGGTCGGAGTCCGTTTTTTAATACCGCATATCAGTCGGGTGCAAGAGTTTTGGATTCTTTATTGGAGAGTTCTATCGGAATTTTTGATAGCCGGCTCATAAACAACATGGCAGTAATTTAGCTGTGATAAGATGGGTGGCTCGCATAGGGTGATTTTGCAAGCTTTATTTAGAATCTCTCTGTTGGAATAGATCAGTTTTAGGTTTAAAAAAGCTTTTGTGATTATGCATGGACATCATCGCTGGAGATCAAATCCATTTGGAAAAACGTTCTCAGGAAGTTTATTCCACAAAAACGTGGTTTCCCAAATGAAAGAGTTCTCAAATAGTGAAGTTCGAAGTGTCCTGAGTTGAACCTAATAACGATGATCTGTTACAGTCCGTCGCGAAATTTTGATATATACCGCTTCCCGTAAAAGTGTCTATAGAAAAGAAACAAATCTCCAACCTTTTCGTTATGTTCCAGACTATCAATGTTGCAAGTGATGTTCGCGTTTCCAATCAAGCGTACGGCTCTTTTCTGAATGGAATCCAGCAGCTTCACGGTTTGCTTCAGTGCGGAGCTCAATACATGAGAACAATACTCCTAAGATGGTCTGATCTGAGCCTCATAAAGCATAATAGCTGTAAGGTGTGTACAGTTTCCTAGTTCGGAACAGCGACATGATGATACCGAAACATATTGGTATCCATTTCAACCCCCAACAATCTTATCGAAACAGAAGTTGGAATTGTCTGACTCGACATTATCATATCCTGTTCGGTAACATTTATATTTTGGGAGAAAACCGATGCCTGGGTTTTTGTGGCATTGGATTGAACCTGGTAACTTTCACCCCAATTCTAAATTACTTCTATATCCTCATTAATAAATGCAATTTCCTGTGTGCTCTCGTTAGCAAATCAATATATTGGATTCCTGGCTTTTCCCAATGAGTCGTTTATATACAATTTAGAGGGTTGGAGACAATATAGATCCCTGAAAACACCAGCATTTATGGTAGAAGTTTTCGAGAGTTTGGCCAGCAAACCCTCATGCCACACGCGGTGAAAAGCCTTAGAAATATCAAACGCAACAGCTATTGACTCTCCATGTTTCTCGATTGTCTTATTTCAAATATGGGTAACATACGATAGGAGGTCGCCTGTTGATCTCTGTTTCCGAAAGCCATATTGATGGTCGCTCAAGATGTTGAAGCCTTTCAAATATTTGAGGACTTGGTGGTTTACGGCTTCGTCCATGAGTTTTGATATCTCTGATAGCACAGCAAACTGGTCTATAGTTATTTGGAAGATTTTTCCCGACCTTTTTGGAAATAGGCTGAAAGCGAGCAAACTTATGGCTGTTGTTGCAATTGAATCATCCACTTGTATTAATGGTGGAATTGTTGATTTCGTAAAGTTTTGATCAACAGCTTCAGCTACAGACAAGAAGAGTCTAGACCCGTTGGGAGTGGCAAGCAGTTTATCCTTTATTCTCAGATTGTGAAGTTCTTTGCTTTCATATATCCTGTGTTTGCAACTGTTGCGAGCATTAACAAACTTAATTCAATTTTNTGGCCCATTCAAATTTTTTTGTCGTTTCCAACAGTTACTGTTGGAGCAATTCATCCAGAATCTTCGCAAGACCTCGTTAATCCTTAGCTTGCACAAGTTTCGACTTCTGAGGGTTGTCGTTCGAAGGGGTGCGACAGCTGGTTAACGGAAAAAGAGCCTTTTTACAGATTTTTTTAAACAGTTCGGAAATACAAATACTATTGTCCGAAACAACAAGAGTGCTGGGCGATCTAAAAAATGTGCTAGATAAATTGCTGAATTGTCTACCTATATCTAAAAAATTCATATAAATTACCGAAATATTGGACAGTGCGAACATCAACACAGAACAGAATTCAAAATATCATCTCTGCAGTATGTTCATCCTATTCTCAAAAAGGGCAAGAAAAATCTTTCAAATAACTATAGACCAGTCGCTATCTTATCAGTGATATCAAAAATCTTGCAGAAAACCGTGATCCAAAGACATGAATAGATGAAAATTTTCCATTTGTTCAATACTTTAGAAACTTGGAAACATATGTTGGTGTCAAATATTGAGGAACAAAATCCACAAATAACAAAATGAAAAATCACAAATAATGTTTTACAGCTGTCGAAGTCCTCACCATTAAAAACCCACATAGCAATAGATATTCCAGGTATATTTCATGAATATACAAAAAAATTTCAATCATTCAGAATTGTATATCAATTTTCATCTTCACCAATGTCTCATCATTTCTTCTTCAACATCAGTGTAACCATCCTCACATAAGATGTAGTCATGAGCATGTAATATTTTTGATTTTACTGTACAACTTATATTATTGTAGTTTCC